GCATTGGTGTCACGGAACCTAATGCTTTTCATATGAACAGCATTTGCAAACGTTTCAAGGTTGAAAAACACTTTGGTCAATATCACCGGAATGGTATTGAGGATGAACGGTGTTCATGTTCAGTAAGAATAAGTTAAGAGAATAATACGCTTAGTTAGATCGTCATCAGGCTTTACTTTAATATACATAAACGTTCAACCATACAAGACAATATGAGTCAATAATCACAATGAAATAGAATAAGTCACTACACATAATAAGTAAAATTACAAGTTGATAGTAGGAAGAGAAGTGAACTGATAGTAGTAAGAATAATAAAATACAATAACAAAAGTTGGAAATAGAAGGTCAAACAAACGTGGCTCCATAGAAAAGGAATAATCAAAACCGCTGAAATGTGGTTTGTTCTCTCCCACATTAGGTTGTTGCTGATAGTGTCTTGCAAACGAGTCCGAAGTATTTTGCGTGGACAACTGTTAATTAACACTTGTACCTTCTGGATGATGACTTACGTAATTCTCCAGATTTCCGCTCCATACAGTAGAATTGTTTTGACATTTGTATTGAAAATCCTGACCTTGATGTTGGTTGACGGTTGTTTTGACTTCATTTGTAAATATGCTGCTCTTGCTGTGTATTGCGTTACGATATAATGTATAAAGATAAACTATCATTAGAAATCGTCAACTTAGTAGGATGAGAACTACACAAAAATGAAAAGCAGTGTCACAAAATAACTGAATGTGTCCAATCTCACCACATTTAAAACATTTCAAATTACGAAATACACATGAATGATATGCGTGAAACTTGTCACAGAACAAACATTTACCAACCTTAGGCTTATCTTTGTGAACTGTCTCACAACTCAATGAATTGTTATCTGAATAAGCTTGATTACGCACTGGACTGTGACGACGTGATGTAGTGGGACTCCTGATGTTCTGACGAATCATTTCAAGAAAATTTCGGCTTTTAAGGCGTTCTAAATTTGTATACTTTATATGGTCTAGTAGCAGTTGCTTCAGAGTTGCATAACGGAGAGAAATCGGCTTGTCAGGAGATGCCAATGTCTTCATTTAGCTGTATGCTTCTTTTACGATGAATAGAAGGAAATGAGCCACAATATTGACATCCTCAACAATGTCCTTGGTTATAGCCCAGATTTCCAACCTTTCCATGTAATTCGCAAGAGCATCGAAATCTGAGTGTATGTTCAACCGTTATATCGGATGAGGATGAGTTTATCCGTCACATTGATATAAAATGAAACACAGAAGGTGATGTGGATTTTATCACCGATATACACAGGAAGTAATAACTAGTCGAGTCTCAAAGAATCAGGATTATTAATGGGCGATCCATAGATTGATAAACTGAGGAAGTGAGAGATGGATGATTCTGTGCGGAAACAACCACTAAAGTCATCTAAAATTAGACAGTGAATGGCTCAATGTTTATTCATAGCTGCAGTATTACCTTCTATGAACTGACAGCTGAGAGATTTGTTTTCATTTCATTTTGTTGATAGAAAGTAATAATCTTTTGAAAAATGAGAATTTCACTCATCTATTTTCTGAACGTGTGGCTAATTATCAAGTTATTATTAGAAAGCGATGTTGTTTTTTTATTCTGAATAAGATTCATATTACGCCCACTTTACATAATAGATGATATAGAATAATACCATATTATTTGATTAATGAGATTGTGTGAGGTGACTGACGACAACACAGTTATAATCACTGATATTTCTGTCAATAACTGAGGTCAACAGAAATATGTTTTTGTTAATTAAATGGTCAGATAATTTACATTGAGATTAAAGAAGTAATAATAATAAATTTTACTTTAAATGTTTGCACAGAATGTAACAGAAATGATAGAATTTGGTGTAATGTTATAGTCGATCAAGGGAATCAGACAGAATTCTCAATTTTTCAAATCTTATTTCTAAATGCACAGCATTCAAACGTCATTGTATCAGTAGGCCAATTAGAAAACGTTGATCAAACGAGATACATCTTTAAGTTGGTACATTTCATTTGCGATTGCGTGCAACCGTTTTCGTAGTTCTGCTTCGCAGTATAGTTTTGCATAATGTCGATTGTTGTGAGATAATTTTCCGCATGTTGAATATAGATGAGATAGAGGAGAAAGTAATGAGTGGCATTTACAAATTTTCAAGTGAAGTGTATTACTAAAATCAAGGTGAAATGAACTGTTGAAGAGCAGGAAGTTGTCTTTTCGTGGGCTGTCATCTGTCAACTGCGTTTCCCTGTGTTCTTGAGTTGAACTCTATTAGGATCAGTTACATTTATTACAATTTCTAATGGAGAGATCGGTCTTTAGTTCAGGAGTTTATAACTCCACTGATGTGGACATCATTATTTTTCCTGATTCAACTAAATCAGTTGATATTGTTTAATAAGTACAAAATTCAGTTTGATTGACAGGCATAAATCGAATTGAGTAAAATGTTGGTTCACAAATAAGGTTTTACACGATACAAAGAAGCCAAAGTTTTGTAGTGTGCTAAATGATCATATGAAAACGTCTATCATCTGAAAATAATCTGTTCAATGATTCTATCAATGAATCTTCGAATGTAACTCATTGATAGTTATAGCGACCACTGCACAGTGTGTAGTTCTTTGGTTATCAATATTTGGTACTTCACTCATTTGAAATACATTAAATGTTGGGTAACTAGAAACTGAATGTGAGATAAAAGACTCCATGTGTGTTGGACTGAATTGGTATTGAGTGTTTCGAGGTAATTAGGACACATTATAGTAAGAATTCTCGTGAGAAATGAACGGTAATGGGTGGAAGTGAGCACATCAACACAATTCTACTACATGACAACAAATTCACATGAGTCAATGATGCAATTAATCACAATCATATTTCCATCAACGGACGTAGATATTCATCTCACAATGTATTACTTCACTCCACGACAGATAGGTCGTTCATTCAACTTCACTGAAGTTGACAACTGAAGTGAATCAGGATATGTTTGTAGACTAGATGGAGCATAGTTCTAAATGAACTGAGGAGATCAGATCGCTTACTGTGAATGTGATCAGTTGTCTTTGTATGAGATTATATGAATGACGACACATTACTTCATTGGTTAGTTGATTTTAATGTTGATGTTTTTGTGTTAATGGAAATTTAATAATATTTTAACTACTTTTTTCAGATTTCTAAGGATTTGAGAGTAAATAAACTGAGATGGGAGTAGATCGGCTCAATTTATTGTGAATCTTGTAAAAGTTGATTTTTATATTTTGATTTACACTGACGTACATGAACATTCATCTGTAAGCGTTATATTACTTTCCATTTGTACCCAGTTATCACTATGCCAACACAGAAATTTGCTGTAAACTATCACACTAAATTACTTACTCATGTTACGTATTGCGGAGGAGTAACGGTCGCTCATTAGCACTCTCTATCCAACCCTGTCCTCAGCAGTTGTTTACAGTTGCTATTTATCCTTTTCACCTTCACCATGAGGCGTCATTATCCTTGCGAAGGAACATCCTTCAATACTCATTCAGAGTTTAAATTGTTTAATTTGTTTAATCTAGTTGACATTGTTCAGTGAGGTTTGTTCCACGAGATTTGGTTGCTGATACTTGTGATGTGGTCATATTCTACTTTGTGTGCTGTCAGTTAGCACATCAGACAAGTTGGATCATGAAAATTCATTCATAATGAACAATACTTTATTCAACGAATGTTGAAGCCAATCTGAACATTGGATTATGGAATGATTCGAATAATAGACAACTGATGTTGTCTGGAATGAAATAAGAGTAGCTGTGTCCTCAATTCGACAACCGTCATAAATTTCCTGTAAACTATCATACTATCATACTAAACTGACCAAATTGTCATCGGAGTGTTGAGGAAGATTGTCCGAAGTAAAATCATAATGGTTTTTGTAATCTCACTATTCAAACATTGATGTTTATGCAAAAATCAAAACAAGCTTGGTTTATAAAGGGCCAAATAAAAGCGATTCGCAGTTCTATCTTTGCACATCTCATTGATAGCGGTCATGCCGTAGATAAATCCAAATCATTTCGAGTTATCTATCACACACATCTTATTACGTAATGATGATAATGTTTTAGTGTTGACTATTCCTATTCTATTTACCCACGTTTGTTTGACTTTCTATTTCCAACGTTTAACTATTGATAAGACTTTTGTTATTGTATTTTATTATTCTTACTACTATCAGTTCACTTGTCTTCCTACTATCAACTTGTAATTTTACTTATTATGTGTAGTGACTTATTCTATTTCATTGTGATTATTGACTCATATTGTCTTGAATGGTTTAACATTTATGTATAATAAAGTAAAGCCTGATGACGATCTAACTAGGCGTATTACTCTTTCTTACTGAACATGAACACCGTTCATACTCAATACCATTCCGGTGATATTGACCAAAGTGTTTCTCAATTGATGAAGTAGTGAAACTTCATCAGTTGAGATGGCTGGGACATGTGTTACGTATGCACAACGACCGACTGCCTCGATGTGCGATGTTCAGTGTTATAGGAGTAGATTGGAAGAAAGCAAGGAGCGGCCAGACCAAAACATGGCACAAGTCCATGAATTCACTGACAAGTGGAGTGAGTCATATTGGTAGGTGTAGACTACCTGGTTGGGGACCGCGAGATGATAGCAACCGATGGTTAGAGACCCTGAATGACATGGCTCAAAATCGTTTGCAATTGCGCAGGTTCATCCACTCTTTGTGTTCTCCCAAATTATAATCTTCTGAATTCTTCATGTCCCTTTTTACCTCTTTCCAAATTTATTTCACTGAATTATACTCTTTAAATAACATCTCCAAACCATAATCTTCCCGATCACTGCTTACACTCTTGCTACCTCTACCACTACGGGATTTGGATCGACAACTGCATCTCTGTGTTAAGGTGGTGTGGCAACTCGAACTGATGTACGTACGTACGAAGTTCTACGTTGTTACTAACTGACTGACTGAAACGTTTGCAAATGCTGTTCATATGAAAATCATTAGGTTCCGTGACACCAATGCAGAATATCCCTTCAAAAAAACGTACAATAAATAAGCTACATAATAATGAATACATTTTATTAACCTTGAAATATTTACTCAAGGTTTTCATATGAAGAACTTGATGTTTCCATTTACATTAATATAGAATTGTCTTATGAAAAATTGACAGTGATTTCATGGGATGAGCTCACTATTCCAATAACTATTGCTTCCGTGGATACAATGAACTGAACAATCACCCAAGTGAACTTTTATCAAGCCCTAGTGAATAAGCTACATAATGACCCCAAAAATACTGCGACAATATGTCATGATAATAAATGATAAAAATAATTTGATTATAGGCCAGATATTAGTGGGACAATTTAATGTATAACTGAAAACAATTCTGATGTTCACCCACCAAACATCGTTTATTCGACCACAGAATGTGATACTCGTGGAAGCAATATTTTGGTTACTGTCGACATCTTTTTGGAGCGTAAAATCCACCATCACACTGCCAAGAATTACATTTTGCAATTATAATCACATCATGGATAGTTTGGGCTTCATCCGCTGAAATTATTATTCATTTACGAAAGTGTACACTGTTAATCATTCAACAGTAATTAACTCGTTACGTTTAGTGTAAACGCATTCACGTCTACTTCTCCCTGACTAATAAGAAACCTTTTGTCTATTCTAAATCTATTCAGAGCCAACTTTACAATGTGCCGGTCAAATGGGCTTTTTGTGACTGTTCGGAAGTTACAATCCCACATTCAACGATGATGGAGTCGTCCGACAGGATTGATTTCATTAAACGTAAATTCAGATTTAAAAACCCAAATTTAGATATCTAATCAAGACAGCTTTTGCTACTTGGATTTTAACCTATCAAACCAAAGCAATGCACCATTGGTAAACAGTTCACAAATCATGACAAGTAACAAAATGTTTGTTCGCGAAAATATGAGCACACATTTTGATCAACATTAAAAACCCCTCACTTAGTTTAAGCTATTGCTAATCATATCCAATATAATTTTTACCAATAGAGGCCTTGGAATTTCAACCAACGGTGAATAAGTGTCAGCCTTTAGAGTACAACAACTAGAAGTATATTGCATTACGATGAGTTCGTCCTCCACGATGAGTGGTTAACAATGATCATATGATTTTATGAAATGTGATGTTTCCAATGGTCACTTTGGATCGTCGAATAAGAAGCATACAAACAAACACTTAAAAAATTGATATAAACACGACAAGGTCTAACAACGATTAATAACGTTGTGAACAAGAAAATGAGGTGAGTGTTGACTTTACAGTTAAAGCAAATGAGTGTGTTATATCAACTTTAATTTGTTTCAATGAAATAAGGCTGTCTATTTTTATCTGAACCATTCCAGGCAGAGCTTTGCAACTGGCCAGTTTATACTGCTGTATTTGATCATCGTATTAATTTATAAATTCTTCGACTGCCATGACATTTGCAAAATACCTGAAAAAGTAATTTTTGAGGATGATGAAAATAAATATGTAAGTAATCAGTCAGGTTCCAATACACACATTCAGTCTCATCACTATTATTATTCCCAGACAATCCGGTCTCATCAGCCTCTTCCGGTTGTTAAAGGCAGATTTGAAAGTTTGGTTGATGATAAAGTGAGTTGACTAAATTTTGCAATCAAAGTACTAATCCATATGTTTGTTTATAATCAGGAAATTAATGCAACATTCCCGTTTACGTTTTACGGCACTACAGTCACCAAATTCGAAATTGACAGTTATGGTAAGAGAATCATTTTCATCGAATTAAAATTGTTACCGAGTTTTGTTTATTCCCATTTCATTCTGTGGACCAATGTTGCTTTAATTTCTTCAGTAAATCAGTTTTATCCCCTTTCTAACATTCAAAACGTCTACTAATATCTTATTTCGTTCAAGTTGTAAACAGTTTAAAGTCTAACGGAAATTCAATTACAGTCCATGAAATTCATTTTGTCTCCAGTTAATCTAAAAGTCTTTAATTCATTCTCTACAGATTGTCAATTAAATTTCATGCTTTCATTTGATTGAGAGCTGAAGGACAGTTGACATAATCAGGAGCACACTAGATTTGATGTGTAATAAATAAATCCGTATGAATAAATTGGATCAAAAACTCATTTCACTGATGGATAAACAAATGCAGAGGTACATCGTCGTCAACAGGCTTCAATGCTGCTTGATCAGAAATCTGTATTCTGAAATAAGTAAATTCGTGTTACTCATCACACGGTCATTCATAAGAATTATTCATTCAAATTAGGAAATAACCAAGACGAATAATCTGAAGCTATTCATTTTCCATCTTTACCGAATACCGATAAACGAATGCTTTGCATGACCAACTATGTTACCATGTTCTATTTGTGAACAAACAAACCATAGCTAATGTGATGTTTACTATAGGTGGATTTTTTCAGAGGTAATTATAGAGTGTTGAGCAAATGTCAATACCTTCTGAACTACCAGATTTATTTGTGGGCTTTATGATTTGTTATTTTGATATGAAAACGAGGTTGTAATACAGCTTCGAGACCTAGTTATCTGACATTTATATTGAAGGATGCATGTTTGCTTCATTTACACGACGTTCACTAGATTATATTTGTTACGAATTCTACCAAAGAAAACATTTGAGATAACGAAGAAAGTGCCTGCTTAAATCTGATCACTTTGCACGTAGGCACATATACTTTCGCATGCAACAATAACATGCTAATCACTGTTACCTCAAATTCTAAATAACGATAGTCTTCTACTTGCAGGTCATGAATTCGATATAACTACTATGATACATTCGAATGGGATGATATCATTCTATTATAATAACGTAAGTTGCACAATTGAATAGTAATGTAGTGTTGTTTGATGTTTTTGGATTATTATCTTACTTTACGCAAATCAACACTGTCAAACGCATCAAGATACATTGAACACGATAGAAGGATATCAACATATTTTAACGTGCACACTGACTTCACGACTGTATTAATAATTCCGTAATGACACACTTTGTTCTAGCACCTTTTAAAAACAATGAATTATAAGAAGACAAATGTTGTCGATAAGAATTCTGACATATTTGAGCCCATTAGGGGCAAACAGTGTATTTTATAGAACTTTCCAACACAGTTATTTTTTGTCAAGCCTAACTACGTCTTCTGAAGTTCAGCTAATTGAAAATTTCATTGTCAAATCATCTGTGAGATAAATTGGTAAAATCTTGATCGTCTCCCACTGTGTACTTGTTCGAATGTCTGCATTTAGCAGCATTGCAATAATTCCCAATCACATTTCCGTCAAGTGACTTAGATATTCATCTCACAGTGTAGCGCATCATAAATAGATCGTTCATTGGATTTCAGTGAAGTTGACAACTGAAGTGTGTCAGATTATCCTCGTAGACTAGATGAGGCATACTGCTGAGTACACTGAGGAGATCAGTATGCTTACTGTGTAACTAGTTGTTTTTGTGTAAAGTGATGTGAATGACGACACATTCCTTCAGAGATTGGTTAGCTTTGATAAAGGTGTTTGTGTGTTGACAAACCTTTACTCAAACTTCCGTTACTTCTTTCCAGCTTCCTAAGGTAATTGGTGAAAACCGAAAGTTATCGAGTATTGAGGCTTCTGCTGTGTGCGAAGGTAACAAATGTTATTTGCATTGTGATTTAAACCGGACTACACATGCAGTCATGTGTTAGTCCAATATTAACTTCTTTATGTACCCTTTGATCACCACGTCAATACACAGAATTGCTGTATTTCGTCATAGTGATCTAATATATCTTTCTTACAGTCTTCATCATTCAGTAGTTTCTTGTGAAAACAGATTGATTGAAGTGTCATTAAAGTGTTGATGAAGAGCGTGTGAAATAAAATCTGAATGTTTCTGATGAACTCATTGTTGAAACACTACTGTTTGTTGAAAATTCAGCTTGGATGATGTGTCTACATATCTTGAAGCGAAGTTGTAGTATCATATGTGATAATAAATTAAGGTGCATACTAGTCCTGAGAAATCCGCGTATTTCGATCAAGTCTTTTGTACAGTGAACCCCTGAATTAATCTGATTTGAAATCAAGTATCTGTGTCTTCATTTGAACAACCGTCATCCTTGTTAGTGTCACAAAAACGATTGTCGCTGTTTTGATGTATTCGTATTGCTGTTATCTCGGTTTTATATGCTGAACTCCGTAAACATTGAATTTTACGATTCACATCCGCTGACTCACACGTAACCTGGTACACTGAGTAATATAACTATGGTGTGTGAAAATCTTTATCATGGATATTCAAAGAAGTCGTTCCCATGTTTTAATAGTCGCTCGTTAAATAAAATCTCAGTTGTTTTTCTTTGTAAACTTAATTTCACAAGATGTGAAAAAAACCAAACTAAATGTTCGTGGAAAATGGATCCAAAGTGGAACGTTAGTACAATATGAACCGCTTGAGGGTATGTTAAACCTTATTGTTTCAGAAATGACTATTTTCACAGTTGAATGCATCAAATTTGTTCCAAAAAATTGAAACCTTCATGTGCAATTTCAGTAAATAACTAAATGAAATTTAGCTACTAGTATCAAATGACGTTGTTCTATTCATGGATTCTCTGTTGGTATTTTGAAATGATGAAGGATGGATGGCCTTCACGTCCTCACGTGGATAAAGTTCACTTAAGCGTACATAATGTTACAAAACGATAAATGAGATAATATATGTCTGTTAGTCGATTGTGCATGAAATAGTCGCAAAGTTCAAATTCAACATTATATCACCGAGTTATAGTTTAATGTTTTGTAATTCACTTATCTTTTGTTTGATAACTTGTTATGCAATAACTTCATTCTTCCCACTGAAGATTGTCCAAAACACAATTCGAATAAAGCATGTCAAGACGCAACAACATCGAATACAACGTGCCTTTGGTGTGAAACAGCCAATATGTGCATCACCAGCAATGATAAGGATCTTCATGAATTCAAAGTAAATGGTTGCAAGAATAAAGTAAGTTATTGATAGACTTCACAGATTGTTTTCAATATCACCATATTCTACATTGTGAATCTGTTTACTCGGAAGAACATTTTCTTGTTGCAAACAAGTAGTGTATTGTATACGTTGATGACGTTTAATCAGATATGAGTACGATGCTTTGTTTTCATGTGGACTATTAACAACCAATAGACGAGTGGTTTAACACTTATGCTTGAACAAATGTTAATTCTTCTGCTCATAGAATGTGTACTGATTCTCGATGTCTAGTATGAAACCGTCTGTATGTGTGAATTGTTACAAAATGCCGATAAGATCAGTTTGAATGATGAAACATAATCTGTTATAAATTATGCATCATATTTGTAAAGTGAAGGTTCGTGGACTCCAATTGTTGAATTTGAGAACAAATATTCTTGACACCCTGTTGTATTCTGGATGGATTGCTTCAATAAAGCCGTCAGTTAGTTACATTGAGATAAGGTGAACCATCCGGGAAACAAATTTCATCACACAAATAAGTTGTCATTTAGTTGTAGGTTATGTGTGTGCTCATCACATTGACTGTTAAATCAGTAGCAGATATCCTAAATCATTGTTCATTGATCATATAGTGCAAATGTAAATTATGTAACTACTTGTTGTATTCACTTGTGTCATCAATACTGCCAATGGTGTATAATGAATGATGAAATATTTGATATTTAATTGTAATTCCACTGTTTCCTTCTTTCGAAGAGCTCGACTGTCAACGTTGCTACTAAACCAACGACTCTAGCAACTACTGAAACTGATCTAGGAAATGAATTGAAGAAGACTAGTCCAAGTACTGAATCACATTTGGTAAATATTTGATATTTTGTAATCATTATACTATTTCGTTCATTTCAGAACATGACCACAGATACAACTGAACACATGGAGGAAACAAAAACACTGCAATATGTGTACATCGTTGTGCCATTAGTTATATCTTTCCTTATTTTGTGCATTGGCTGTAGCATTTGGCTATGGTTCTACAGAAGGAACAGAGTTCATCCATAGTCCTCACAAACAGCTTGTCAATTGTTTTCATTAAGTCGATTTTGTTCTTTTCATTTTGTAGTTTAGTAAACACACTTTCTATTTTGTTAATCATTTCAATAAATTAAAGATTGTTTCATGGAACTGCATATCAAATTGATGATTGTTTACTTAATGACTGATGTCACTTTGTTAGTAGAATATAAAAATATAACTTTTTTGCATTTATGTCATTGTTTGTATTCAATGGGAACATGGGTAATTTTACAAGAGGTTACAACATTGCACTTGTCAATGAACAGTATCGTGTATACGTGATTATGTGGCCATCGAAATCAAAGATGAGTCCGTTGTAAATGTCAATTTCGGTAAAGTCTCAATACTGAGAAATGTCATTCGAAATCGACGTCGTTCATTGTTTTAAACTAAACTGTCGGAATGCGGCATTAATATTTAACAAAGCACCTCAATCCTTCGTTATTTGACTATTCATCGTTGAGTGAAAGCTGGTTGACAGACTGTTGTTAATTAGGTGTTATGAATGTGTTGAATATGAAATAATTTTAGAAGGTCTAGCTAATACTCAAATAAGAATGAAAAAGGATGTAGAACTAGTAACTATGTGAACTAGTAACAGTTCTGCCGTAAAATTGGTAACAAAATGAGAGTATAAAAAAAGAACTGAAGTGTTTGCGTCAATGACTGATCACATTAATAAAGATAATTTGGCTAATAATCTGTCGTGTTCTCATAGATTTATGAAAAACTAGTCTAGTGTGAAATAACTAGTCTTGTAAAGTATCATAGCTTTTATCATTTTGATTTAAATAGACTCTTCTCTTTATCTAACGTTAATTTCAAAAAGAATAATTCGTTTACACAACATTTGTCACTAATGTTTTGAATGGAATAACACCTCCTGTAAGATCCATTTTCAAGGCTTTGTGTGTGTGTGAACATCATGTATAAGATAGTAGATCTCGGATTTTGGCATGAAAGCCTTTCGTCCATTTGGCTAAATAAATTTCTGGTATGATAGCTGATATCAGTTCGAGATGAAAATCCTATATATAATTGCTAACTAAGGCAAATTATGACAATTATTGAGAACTGGATAATAAAAGCACCAGTAACACTGGCTGCAGCCAGGTACCACAATATATACGGATGTTTGGGGAGGGTACAGACTCCTACATAGGCTTGGTTATGTGCATCGTGTCGTTATCCACAAGACGCATTTTGTGCAATCAACAACCGGAGTGTACATAAACAATACTGAAGCTGTGTGGTCGAGGATGAATGAGTTTTTGAGACTTTATCATGGCTCCAGAAGCCGACTATTCTGTAGTCGTCTGGATGATTGCATACATTGCGACTATAGAACCTCTGAAGCTTTTTCTAACCTTCACAAGTTTTTGAACCACGTATAAGATGTGTATTCAACTTAATTCCTTGGTTTTGTATAACATATTTTCACTCCGGGCTGACTGTCTGCTGATTGACTAAGATATTAGAGTCTCGCCAATATATTTTTTCAAGTCACAAAGTAGAGTTCTGAATCCCTTACAGGTCTGTAAATGCATAAAACTGTTGAATCTAAAGTGTTTTTTATATCAGTTAAACATCCTAATTATTGATAACATTTGATTAGGCGGTACATTAAAATGAGTGAAATCACAGCAGCTGCACAGTTAGCTACGAATTTAAATCAATTCGAAGAGTCTCATAGGATGAATTTAATTAATTAGGAGTTGTCACCGAAAATAGTGACCCAAAAGTAAGAGGTCAAGTACTGTTCAGCACCAAAAGTGCAGACGTCTCTTGCATTTTGATTGTTAACTGCAAAATACTCTCAGTGCTTATCAATAGTAACTTTGTGAATAGGTAAACATTTATAAACAAAACCCGAAAGAAGATTGTGGATTGTAGTGCTGGATGTATGTTCATCAATGTGAGCTATAGGCCAATCACATACGATAATGAAACGGCCATCCAGTGCTCGAACGTTTCTAGTTGGGTTCTTGCTAAGAACTCCCTGTGGCTTAAAGCTATGAAGATGTCACAATACGCGTCGAAACAATTATGGTGGAAGATCATCGGGATATTATTTTAATCGGAAAATATTTGCGCTTATCCCTTTATACCCTTAGCGTTTATATATACTCTGTCTCGTTCTCAGTTGTTTACACTGAGATTGAGGAAGTAATCAATATTACTTTCAATATTTTAATGAATATTACAGAAATGATAGAACTTGATGTTATTTTATATTCAATGCGATGAATCACAACACAGAATTTTCGATATTTTGCAAATCTTATTCCTTAACAATCTGTTGAATGATACTTCGATTCCTGGAAAATTGTATCATTCAAAGAGTATTGGTGTTATGAAGCTAATGTGATTTAGAACAGTAATTTTTGACCAAAATCACAATATTCTATAAGTTTCCTCATTCTAGTAATTCTAAACTGAAATTAATCTGGTTCTAATTGCCTATAGACTTCGATATTGTAGAGATTCATGAATCGATCTGGAACATTTCTTGATAGGTTCATAGTGGCATTTATGATCAGGGTGCTATCAATAATGGCGATTCGATCTATCAAAAAGTAACACATATTTAATTATAAAGTGAAGATGTACATGATGTCGAACTTCACTTACATCTGGTAGATGTGTACTACAATCAATCATCTGTTTGCTAAGATATGAATGAACAAGATGTAAGATGGTTGAATGAAATGAGCAGGTGGCTTGTAACAAAACTTTTGCTCTATCTCACACTCGTCAATCGGAACGATATGCAGTATGGATAGCGCAGATAATTCATATATCACTGGAACAATTGACTCCCAGTGTCATGGTCGAAAAACGTTGTAATTCAGATATAAATTCCACGTCTAACCTCTTTTAAGACTGGAACCTATATGTTGTTTAATAATCCATGTTGATTGACTTGTATTCTCCATAATATCAGTTGACTAAGTAAGTACAAATATGTCTGTTGATATAATTTTAACTGTTTAATTTATTGTTATGGCTTAAATTGACGTTGTTATTGTCATTATTGAATTTCTTTCACTACTTGCACAACTATCAGTAGCTTCAAACA